ATCGCTTAATTTTCCTTGAAAAAGTCATCAAAAACTAAAAAGGCCCTTAAAAAGTTAAAAAGACAATTTTTTTTTTCCTGAGAAAACTGACTTTCAAATGTCAGTAGGTTAAATGCTTTTGAATGCATCCAGGTCTTTACCTTTTACTTTCAAAATAAACTTTAATTTTTTAAATAAACTTTAATTTTTAGAACAGCTTCAGATCTACAGAAAAATTTCAAAGATAATGTAGCATTCCCCTACATTGCACACCTGGTTTTCCCCATTATTAACATTTTACCTAGTATAGCATATTTGTCACAATAAATCAAAATTGGTACATGATTATCAAAAGTTCACCCTGCTTTCTGTAGCTTTTAACCTGCTATCCTTTCTCTACTCCAAGGTCCCATCCAGGACACCACATTACATTTATTTGCCATGTGTCCTTATGTTACAGGGCAGGGAGAGGGGCATCCCAAACCCCACAAACCTGCCTATTCTAAATGGGTTTTGCCATTTGCCACATCAGCACAAAACATATGAGACTTGAATGGGAAGGAATTTTAATACAATTAGGAAACAATATAGGAAAGGCAAAGAATATAGTTTCTAAATCAAGCACCCAAAGTTACCTGTCCCCTCGTGGGTAAAAGTCCACCCAAACAGGATTGGCCCAGAGCAAGGCCCCAAAGCCTGCCACAAGTCTAAAGCATCTTCCAGTGGGGACCCACAGAAAAGAGTCAGAAACAACCAAACACGCCCGGAAGGAAAAGAACAAAATGAAAATCAAGATAAAAGCTGCCATTGTCACCTCCCCACAGGTCTCACCCACATCTGTGCCACCCAGTACATGACTAAAAGGCAAGCGCAGTTTCTTCACGTGTTTCTAGGCTCCCTGTGCCTCCTCCAGTTCTCCTTTTGGCTCCATCCTGCTTCCTTCCTCAGTCTCCTCTGCAGCTTCTCTCTCCTCAGCTCTACCCTTCCTTTTGGGTGGGGCAGGAAACCTGGAACCTCCCCCTTTCCTGGGGACCACCCTATAACACTTACACCGGTCTTGGCTGTGACAGTTTCTCAGTTTTCACTGTTTTTGATGACAGTTCCAACGATTATTGAACAGGTATTTTCTGGAGTGTTTTCAGTTGGGTTTTTCTGATATTTTTTTCATGAGTTATGGGCTGTCATCATGACATGTTGACCTTGATGACCTAGATGAGGTAATGCTTGTTGTATGTCACCACTGTAAAGTCACTCTTATTTCTCCCTTTTATAGTGAATTGTGAAAGGGCATCACTACTCACAGTCCACACTTAAGGAATGGAGTGTTATGTTCTACACCTGTTATAGGATAGAGTGAAGGATATCCCAGAATCCCCAAACCTGTCTGCTCTAAGTAGGTTCTGCCATTTGCTGCATCAAAACAATACATACTTGTTGCATGGACAATACTTCAGTGCACTGACCAACGGGAGTTGTGGAGCAGGCTACAAGATGCAGGATGCTGCTTAAAAAGCAAGCTCCTGGCCGTTCATTAATAGAATAATAATACAGCATCAGTTACACAGGAATAGGAGAACAAAGAAAAAAGGATAGGTGAAACTGAACAAATGTGCATATGTATATAGGGTTTTGGGGGAAGGTGAGTCTGCTGGCATCTGCTTGATGACTCAGTATTGAGATGGAAACCATACCCCAGGTTCCCTATTCATGGTTCCACTCCTATGGACAAGGCACTTCCGATCTCTCTGGGAGGGCAGGGTTATGCATCAGTCAATGGCCGCTGAGCAGTCAGGTCATACCTTGTGATGCAAACCCTTTGTTCCAGGACAATCAAGCATCCTGCTCTTGTTAAATTTGAAAGGAGACTTGTAACTAATTGACTGGTCTGGACTGACCTGGTATTTGAATGCAGAGTTCTGCACATAACCAAGATGGTGGCCGAGCAGGCCTTTAAAGTCTTGCAGACCCACACATACTCTAATGTGTAAAAACTTTAATGGAAAGGAACTTGAATACAATTAGAGTGTGATAAAAAGAAGGGAAGGAATAAATAAAATAGTTTTCACATGAAACACCCAAAGTTACCCACTCCTTTGTGGGTAAATGCCCAGCCAAACAGGGTTAGTTCAAAACAGGGCCTCTGAGGCCTGAAAACCTGTCATACTCTAAAGCACCTTCTGGTGGGGACCTATACATAAAGGTCAGAAACAGCTAGACAAGTCTGGAAGGAAAAGAGCAAAATCAAAATCAAGATCAAAGCTGCCATTGTGAACCTTCCCACGGGTCTCTCACCCACCTCTGTTTCAACCAGTCCAGGACCAAGAAGCAAGCAGATTCTTCACATGTCTCTGCTCCATGTGCCTCCTCCAGGTCCCCCTCTTGTTTGCCATCCTTCTTCCTTTCCCAGTTTCTCTCCAGATTCTCCTTCTCCCTGTTCAGCTACACCGTCCCTTGGGTTGGGCAGGGAACATGGAACCTCCCCTTTTCCTGGGGACCACACTGTTATAGGCTCATATTTTGTCTTTTGTGTAGTTTCATATTTTTCACCACCTCTGTCTTCCCAGTAGTTTTTAGTACCATGTGTTGCACAAAATACTTGTTTAATAAATCTTTGTTAAATGAGTTGAAGAACAAGTATATGAAGCGGCTTGCAAATGTAATTGATGAGAATGAATTACACAAGGGAAGGAAGGATGGTGGAATAGAAAATAAATGGTGGAATTTTCAAATGAAACAAAATTGACTTGTAATAACTCCTAGAACTTTATTTCCAAGTTTTATGTGAAATACTGTTGCATTTTTGTTCAAATAGAGAAATCTTAAACAAAATAAAAGGTGACTTTATTCTAAATAAATAGGCAGTTTGCTCTAAGAAGGAGAAAGAAGAATCAAGTCTCATTTAGCTTTCAGAGGGATCTTTCCCCCCAAAGAAGCACCCTGTTATTAAAAATAGCTGGCTGGCATATCATATAACATATTAAAAATTAAAAGAGCTCAAATACAAGAGTTTTTAAATAGTATTTTTCTTTACTTATTGTAAAATTTAATATTTGTTATTGTCCATTACTGGGGAGAAGTGAAGAGAAACCAATTACTGGGGGGTAAAAATATCCTTACAGCATGCTATGTTACCATTATTCTCAACACCAAATTCAGCTGCTGCAGACCAAGCTCAGTCAAAGGAAGTTGAATTAGGAAGGAATTTAGTCCCTCTTTTTCTCTATCCAAAAATACATTTCAAGTAGGCTTATTTCTTAATTAGTATTTAATTAGAACAGCCTGTAGAGGGCGTCCTTGCACCAAGAGCCATAGGATTTTGAGCAACACAGAGGTGAAAACATCTTCAATTAAAACCATGCTCTCTAGAGTAAAAAAAAAAAAAAAGAGTCTGTTGTGATGTGAAATTATAATCTTTAACTGGGAGACAATTGGTATTACAATATTAAAGTGCTCTAAAGGTTGCCTGATGTATACGAGTACGTTATATATAAATGAACGCTCACTGAAATAAACGACTGAAAAGTCTGAAAAGCAGTAAATATTTTTAAAGAAGCATGGTGTGAAGCCTGGGATGTAAACAGATTTAATTATGATTTACTTATCACTATAAGGTATAGTGGCTAAGAAAATAGGCTTTGAAGTCGGAGTGCCTGGAATTTCAGCCTTGAATCTTCCACATTCACCAGCTGGGTAACCACAAGCAAGTTGTTGGACCTTTTTGAGCTCTGTATCCATCCGTAAAATGGGAATAATAATAGTACCGACTTAAAAGAGTTGTGAGAATTAAGTAAGCACTTAAAACAAAAGTACTTTTAAAATTAAGACACTGCAAATTCAAACCAGTCGTAATCAGACAGCCTTCTTGTCTAATTCCTTTTAAAGATCAACAGTTGTACAGCTGAAAATATTTCATAATTGAATGCACATTCTGTTCTGTTTAGTAACTTCTCACGACCTAACATTTATTTAACTTAATGCATGCACATGTTCAGCGGCCCTTCTGTTGTTTCTGCTTGTTTTTTCCTCTTGAGGTGTCCACTATTCTACAAAGGACTCACTGAAGCGCCACGCCCAGCCGCAGGCCCTTGATCCTTGAGGCCTTTGTCGCAGCATCTGGGTGCTAAAGAATAAAGAGAAGTAAACAACCCTTTTCTGAGTCTGGAATCTAAGTTTCTTAAAAAAAAAAAAAAACACACACACACACACACACACACACAACAACAAAACAAAAACCTCTTGCTTCCGTTTTCTTCGCTCATCCAAGGGATTAAGCAGAAGGCACGTTAAATGCCCTCTGCGGATCGGGCGGGTGCGCGAGGCTGTAGCCCACTGACAGCCAACTGCGCTCCCCTAGCCAAGGCCACAGCCCAGATTCCAAGCGCCAGGGAGCTCAGCACCGGCGCTCACCGCCACATACATTTCTTGAAACACCAATACAAAGATTTTTACACTTTGGGGAGCCCTACCCAGGGTATCAAGGGATTCCTATCATCCAAAACCAGAGATGTCTCCCAGGCTCTGTAGGATTAGCAGAGAGACGGGCCTCCCAACTGGTAAAACACCCTGTGCGGTGCCTGACAAGTGCAGGATGAAAGCCCAGCGCCCCAAGCGCCTGCCATGCGGGCACCACTGGACAGTTGCAATCAGGTTTTAAATTGATGGGTGTGCACGAAGATCGGAGAAGGTAGGATTAGGGGCGCGAGGAATGGTAGCGGCAGATGACGAGAAAGGGAGTGGTAAGTGCCTTAGTTTAGCGTAGCGCACACGTGAGTACCCTCCTGGCTCTCCTTTGCGCTCAGTGAAAACTTGCCGCGTCAGTTCACTCCTTTACCCTCCACCCATGCCTAACTAGCTGAAGGCAGACCAGTGACATGCCAGGGGTCCTTGGGACCGTAGTTCGCCGCAGCAGCCCCCTCCACGCGCCCGCTTGGCGCGTGCTCGCATCGTGGCGTGAACGCGGCCTCTGGGGGTCCCGCGCGGCCCCGCCCCTGGCGCCCCCCAGTGGTGGCCAGCTGGTCTTCGTCACTCCTCGCTCGCACCTCCCTTACGCCAGCCCTTCCCCGCTTTTCCTCGCGCTATATTTAACCCTCTGACTGTTGGCCTCGCAGCGCATGCTGGCATCTCCAGCTTTGCCAGCCTTGCGTCTCTCCCGTGCCCTCTCCCTCCGGCGCCCCTTTTCTTGCCCAGCTCACGCCTGCCTTCTCCCTACCCTCCTGCTCTGACTCTCTCTGGCTCACTCTTGTACCCGAGCCGCGAGGCTGCCCGCCCAGACGTCCAAGCCAGAACAGCTCCAAAGGAGAGAGCGGAGAGCCGCCTGCCTGCACGTTGGGTAGGTGCGTCTGGAGTTGCAACGGCGAGCATCCCCCGCGAGGAGGTCCCGAGCGGCATGGCCCGAAGAAGCTCCTTCCCTGGCGCTGCGCTCGCGCTCTGGAGCATCCTCCAAAGCATGCTGGTGCTGCGCGCCGAGGTCGGGCAGCCGCGGGAGGAGAGCATGTACCTGTGGATCGATGCTCACCAGGCGAGAGTGCTCATAGGTAAGTCTCCCGCGCCCAGCACCTTGTCCTGCCTGCGTCTCCACTGTCTCCAGTGCTTCTGCTAAGGGAGGATGGATCGTTCAGTGTATTTTTAAAACTTAATATTCAAGGAAGATTGAATTATCTATTTTTTCATCTGAAAGCATATAACTCAGGAAAGGAAAGCTGAGCTAGTGTTCTGATCATGTGGTTGCTAGTTTCTACAAGCCTACGTTTTAGGTGGACCCAGCGTTTGTATGTTTGTATGCATTAGTTAACTCCATGTGCGCTCCTTTTCCCTGAAAACGTGTGTCTATTGGCATCATTGTTACTGAATAGAGAGGAAAATTAATCCCAGCAGCATTGTCTGTACCAAGGCAGGTGCTTTGTGAACAGCAGTGACATTATTTCTTTGGTGTTCTTTTTGCATGCAACTTCGGGCTTGAGTTCTTTTAAGTTCACCTAGTTTGATAGTTTTATTTTTTTAACCAGGATTTGAAGAAGACATCCTGATTGTTTCAGAGGGGAAAATGGCCCCCTTCACACATGATTTCAGGAAAGCACAACAGAGAATGCCAGCCATTCCTGTCAATATCCATTCTATGAATTTTACCTGGCAAGCTGCAGGGCAGGTAAGTTCTGATAACCAGAAAGGTTGAAGAACATTAACCCCTCAATATTTCCACTCCCTGATGACAGGTAGAGTGTGGCAGGTAGCTGTATAGTGTGTAGCTGGTACATGTTACAGTTTTAATTGTAATTTCTCATCTGATCTCTAAAGCAAATAAATAATTAACCCCCGTTTATTTAAAGTTGTCCTGTGAATTAAAGACTCCCAAAAGAAAAGGGGAAGCAATAAGCCTAACCTCACTATAATGATAATAGTGTCTTCAGGCTGCTGGAAATGTAAAGATTCCAAATGCCAACATCCTTTCTTTTTTGATCATTGACATTAATCATTAATATAATTTTTAAAACACTTAATATTATATACTAATCATTCGTGACATTTTACAACACATTTTAAAGTCTGTAAGTATTGACATTTTGCACTTGAAAAAATTGGTATGTTGACTGTTTTCACTGTATTGATGTGAATATCATATTTCTGGTAGAGTTTGTAGACTCAAAGAATGTCATGTAAGAATGTCTGTAAAATATTGCAGGGTATTGATTTTTTTTGGTTACCATCTTAAATACTGTCATAGGAAAAAGAAAGCTGCAGTATATTTTTATGGAGAAGCATTCCTTTTTCTTCCTAGCACATTAGCATCTTTCATATATTGACTTTTTATATAGTTTTGTTATTACATAGATGATCTCTAATTTTGGAAAGAAAGGGAGAATAACAGGTTATGTGAGTTTAATATCTTTTGTGTAATTGGTGGATTTGTTCTAAAGGACAAATGGTAAGTAATAAATTCTCTTGCTTATTAGTTGGTAAAATGTATCTACTAGGAAAATCATTGTAATTATAATTGAAATCACATTTCAGGTCTTTTTTTATTCTAAGATGCCTTAAATGTCTATTTCCATGAAGAATGTGATCCAGAAACACTTTATAAAAAGTAACTACTTTGAACTGAGAAACCACTTTGGTTCTTTCTAATTACCTGTTATAGTAGGGACATGACCATTTTAGATGTCTTTTTTCCCTCAGGTCTTTTTGTTCTCTCTTTTTTCTAAAATAGAACAAATCTAAGCCTTGCAGCATTTCCATTGTCATAAAAAGTAGTTATTTTGGATCTACTAAAGTTCATAATAGGAAGGTCATCCATGCTAATAACCCCCCCCCCTTTGCAGATAAGTTCACTCTCACTAGAGGCTCCTATTACTCAATAAGGAGATTATTCCCCTTTCTCTCCAATTCCCTCTCCAAAGATATATAACGGACAATTAATTTTGAAATATTGTGAAGTCAGTAATAAATCAACTGTGTTTGACCACTTGTAAGATGTGACCAATCTTAATGTTGTGTTTTTAAAACTACATATACTTTTATGGACTTTTAAGAACCATTAGAAGATATTTTGACTTGCACTCCTAGTGAATAGGTTTGGTAACTATAGAAGCAGAACATGCTGATTGTTTGCATCTTTTTATTTATCCTATTAATTTATTATTTATCTTCATTTCTCATATAAACTCATGAGTTTGTGTTCTGATGAGTAACATTTGAAGCAAAGCCTTTTTCTTAAAGATTTATTTATTTTTCTATAAGAATTGGGGTACAGGCCAGAGATGCGGGGAGTGAAAGGATTCATCCAATAGAGTGGGGAACAGAACAGGCAGATGGACCAAAGTACACTGCTGAGGGGAGCAACGGGCGAGACAGGAGAGGTGTGTCCGGCCATGTGGGCTTCTTCCTGACTGGCCGGGAATCGAACTCGTGCCACAGAAGCTGCGGATTGCTTCATAGGTTGCGTCTTCACCCCTGCGCCACTAGGGAGGCCCAAGGCTTTAATTCCATCTTATCTCCCCTGTTAACTTTATAGTCTAGCGCATGTTCACAAACATTGGCATATGGTTGAGTACGAAATGAACTGACCTATGAAACAATCTCTGGGTTTTTCTGGTAGGAAATTAGAAGAGATGGTGCAACTGACATGGAGATGAAGTTTCTAGAATCTCCTGTTAGGTGTCAGCTGACCATGTAGATTGTCTCATTATGCAGGACAATGTTAGCACCTCAGTTATCTCACTTTCTAATTCTGCTCTGCTCTTGAAGTTTACCACAGGTAACCATGTGAAATCCGGTGTCTGTTTTTCTTGGGAGGGAGGGTAGCCAGAAGGGGATGGGTGGAATCCATACAATGCCAAACAGCAAAATGTTTTAAAATAGCATTTAAATTTGGTTAATGTTACTCAATAAAGTCATGTGATTCCAGCACCATAATTTTTTAAATGCATGGAAATTTTGAAGATGGGAAAAATAATTACTTCAGTACTAATTAAGTATTTTGAAAGGCATATATGGCTAAAGCCAAGCCACATCAAAACATCTACATGGAAAATGAAAAGTTCATTCCATTATCTAGTTATTTCATCCAAACATATCAAACATTTAGGGATTGCAACACAAGCAAAACACAGCTGATAAATGAAATTTTAAGCAATATTTACGTGTTTTTGCAACATATAGAGAAAGTTAAAAAAACATTAAGATTGGAGACCTAGTAGGGCTAGTAGGTGTTAACTACTTCCAAAGTATTATTAATCCAGTAGCCCAAGGTGTTCTTGGGGCCATTTAGAACATTTCATGTTCTACTTTGAACATATGCAAATAAAAACGTCAGTAAGACTCATTTCCTCACATCAAGTTGGTCAAAAAAAAAATGTTCTTTTTAAGTTTTAGTATGTGAAGAAATGGGCATCCTCATGGGTGCCTCTGCCCAGTTATCCTCTTTACGAACAATTTGACTCTGATGGCAAAAGATTCAATATAGACCCTCTGACTGGGAAATTTCAGTTCCAGAGATTCATCCCAAGATAATAATCATGGATATGCTACTTATAAAAGTAAAATTTAAAAAATGGTAGGTCCAGCAGTAGTTGGAGGAGAATACAATGAAACATTTATAAGAATATTCCAGACATCCTTTTGATATCAGAAATTAAGTCAGTAGTCCTTAGCAGTATATTCTGTTTGATTCCATTCCAAACTATGTGAGTAGAAGTAGGAGAAAAGTCTAATTCTTTAAAGTGTAACATTAGTTTCACCTGCATATGTTACACTTTGTTTTTTTCCACAATGAATATGTATTGATTTGTAATTTTAAAAATATTTTACAGTAAGTATATTTTCATGGCTGATTATAACTATGGAACCCAAAGAATTCTCTAATGCTTATCTGATTCTTACTATCTTCTTTTGAGATCTCGCACAATCTACTTTAGAAGGCTTCCCTTCCAGAAGTCAGATTAGCTGAACTGTCTTTCACTGAAATCCCCATTTTCCATGGGAAACCCTGTGTCTACTTTATCTCCCATTTAAAATATTTCTTTTCTAACATGTCCTTCTTAAGGCTTTTGGATGAGAGAAGAATTTCTGCTAAAGAGGTTTAGTTAGGTTTTAATGATTTTTTGTAATTAAGGAAAAATACCCTATTATTATATATAACTTCTTAACTGTTGATATTTTTCAATGTGGCATTCCTTATACTAATTTTTCCCTAAATTTGAGACAGGTAGGGGCCATGAGCTACCATTTTTGTTTCTTAAACTAAACACTAATTAAACATTTTATTTGGAAAATAACCTTTTCTAAACCTAATGGCTTTCAAATAAAACTTTAATGAGGAATTTTGTTAGACAAATCTAATATGACACCACTGTTGACTTCTGTGTGAACCAGTTTGGTGAAAGCTTGAACATTTTTATTTATACAGATCTCATAAATAGATCTTTATAAAGATCTTAGTAAACTACCTGATCTTAGTAACCATAATATATTGTATCACCTGCCATGAGATGCTGCAGTACTATGGATCTAGTGCTTAGTTAACAGGGCATCTCTTTTTATATTGACATTTTATTGACTTTTTTTTTAAAGCAGTGGTTATGGATTTATGCAGCCACGTGTACTACTTTCCCAACCTGCTTGTGACCAAATGCCAAGATTTCAGGAATGATTGGCAAGGCTTAGGGTGAAACTGTTGTGTATGGAATAGAAATTCTCTGAGTAAAGATAACCAGCCAATATCAACTTCAAATCCAGCACCTGGATTACTAAACAAGCTCTATCCATCCTTACTAACAGGTCCAGATGTTAGGAGCAAGCTCTTTGTCATACATAATGGTCACAGTTCCTTTAACCACTAGAAGTCAAGGGAATCACTTTATTTTTCTGAGTTCCAAGTTTGAAAACAAAGCCTAGAAGTGTTATTCTGGATATGGGAAATGAAGAGGAGAATTTTGTCTGCTGTTTGGGGATGTGGGTGGTAATTTTGAAAAAAGTGATGTTATTGGTATTTGGTTAAGCTGCGCACATGCGCTTCCTTGTTTTTTGTGTGACCATCCAGAGTAGTGCATATAGATATATAGGTAATACAGTGCAGCAAGTGAAATATTTTCCAATGTGTAAGGTTAATGATAAAGGAGTTCATACCCTTACCTGTTCCGTATCAATTTTAAAAAGCTCCAATTATTGAAAACTGCCAGAAAAGGCAATAATAACACAAAATCAAGTTCAAGGAAAGCTTTGGAATTTTGTCTGCATAGTGACCTTTGTGGATGGGTCTAGTTAGTAGCACCCAAATTCAGTTTTAAAGTAAGAAAAGCACCTACTAGGGGAAAAAAGAGAAACCAGAAAGAAGGCATTTCTCTGATTCAGATTTGTCCAAATTACTAAAAAAACAACAGAATCACTCCACTGACAGAATCACTCCACTGTTTCTGTAATATCATGTGAATGAATACATTTCTGTCATTGAAGTGACACTAAAGCTCTAATTAGCTCCTGTTTTATTGTAGTATTTAACTAGTCCCCTTACACTGGCTACAGTTTTCAGTCTCAAATTTCCCATTGAAATGACGGAGTTAAGCATTTGAACGCTATTCAAATGCTTTTTTCTTACTTTGGTCCCTTGACAAAAATCAAATAATAACAATAGAGAGTGGATTTTAATTTATG